AAAATAAAAATATTTTAAAAAATACACTTTTTGGTTTTTAAACATGTCCTTATTAGTCATTTGATGTTAAACAACAACCGCTAACTATTGTATAACCAAACAGTTATATTTATCGAATCCGTTATTTACCGTCCGTTACCCACTTTCTGCTATCCATCATCTGCTATTTACCATCCGTTACTCACTTTCTGCTATCCGCCATCCGCTATCCGCTAACCGTCATCGGCTATCCGATAACCGCCACCCGCAATCCGCTACAGCTATCCGCTATCCGTTATCCGCTGAATTTTAACCGCTATACCAAACAGGCCATGTTTCTCAATGGTGCTGGTTTCCATTTTTCTGGGATGTCCTATATTTAGGAGATTATGAAACGATTGTCAGAAAGAAAATTAGTCAAAAAGGATTTGTTTCCTTCTGGAGCAAATCTTTTAATTCACTTTGAGCATAGAGCTTTTGGGTTTAAAGCAATTTGAGATTTGGAGTAATTCAAATTGTTCCTTAAGTTGTTTTAAAACTTTAAAATAATAGTTTTTTTAGAGGTTTCTTTAAGAATTTAAAGACGAATATTTTTTTTATTTATATGTCCCCTCATAACACCTTAATGATAGTTATACAAATTTTTTGTATAAAAAAAAAAAAAAGGAATACAAACATGAAAAAGTGGAGAAAAACAAACCTCTACAAACTCTAGATATTTAGGGGCCTTCCACAAATAAAACTTGTTTTTTGGTTCGTTTTTTCCCTTTTCTTTTATTTCTCGTCACAGTAGCGAAATAAGTCCGAGTAACATGTGGATGCTACTAATGATATGGACACCACATCGTGCCACATCGTTTAAATTTTTTTGTGTTTATATCATAAATTATAATTTTTTAAGCGATATTAAGTGTTAATGGGTAAAGTAAAACTACATTAGGGGCCTGTTTGGTACAGCGGTTAAAATTCAATGGATAGCGGGTAGCAGATAGCGGGTAACGAATAACGGATAGCGGATAGCGGGTAACGGGTATCGGGTAACGGGTAACGGGTAGCGGGTGGCGGGTGGCGGTTAGCAGACAGCGGATGACGGATAACGGAAGTGGGTAGCAGATGGTAAATAACAGATTCAATAAATATAACTGTTTGATTATACAATAGTTAGCGGCTGCTGTTCAACATTAAATGACTAATAAGGACATGTTTAAAAACAAATAAGTGTATTTTTTAAAATATTTTTATTTTTATTATTAAAATTATTAATTTTATAAAAATAA